CTCTCTCTCTCTCTCTCTCTCTCTCTCTCTCTCTCTCTCTCTCTCTCCTTTCCTAATTTAGATGTTAGGATGTTGAAGTTTTAGTTTATTTTCTAAAGCATCTGTAAAACAGACAAGGAATAATGGATGGAAACTGAAAAAGGAGAAATTTAACCTGGAAATAAGGAGAAATTTTCTGACAGTGAGAACAATCAACCAATGGAACTTGGCAACTAAGGCTTGGTCAACCATGGCTGATTGAGGAATTCTGGGAGTTGAAGTCCACAAGTCTTAAAGTTGCCAAGTTTGGAGATCTCTGGAGTACAGTGACTATGACTTATTTTGCCTCCAAACCAGGCTTGAATCTAGATTGAAAAAGATTGAGATAGTTGATGGACCCCAATAATGTATGATGTTGCAGAGAAACCATCCTCTTAAGCACCTTGTCCCCAAAGGGAGTGTTTGTAAGTGGGCCCAGAGAAGATTTCTTCAGGATTGGTTGATTACTGGCTGCTTTAGGTCAGGAATACTCTGGCATATCCAAGTTCTGGTGAAAATTCATTTATCAGTTCTTGAGCCATCAGTCAATCCCCATTGGCAAATTCATATAATTCATTTTATTTTATTCATATAATAAAATAGGTGTGGGTCAATGGAGAAGGTGGCATGTATAGGAAATCCCCAGGCTTCATATTAAAAGTTACAGTGTGGTCCGCCTAGAGTAATCCTTTGTCTTGTTTCTTGGTAATTTACAACCCCAGTTGCTGTGGGAAGGTTCCAAGGAATGGGATGTTTAAAGCATCAGCATCTTTTTTTCACTTATTTATTGAATAGTACAGATTGTGTCACCCTAGAAAAATTGGGGAAGAAAACATTTGGCTTATTTTTAAACCATGTACATCCCTGGGCTGCAGGGATGTAAGGAATATGTGCAGAATATATAAGGAAGCATGCAGGTCCGTAAGGGCCTACCATCCCTGTCCTACTGTTCCCATTTATTCATACTCATTTATTATATATATACTTATACTTGTTTATACTGATAAGTTTTTAGGTTATGTTCATACTTATACTTGTTTTCTCATACATGCTTAACAAACTAAACTACTGTAAATAAAATGGTCTTAAGATGTAATGACTAACAATCTCAGCTTGTTTCTAATGGTCAGCTATTTGGAATAGACCAGAATAGGAAACTGGCTCCATGGAAAAACTAGGATTTTATTGACATAGGCTATGATAACAGATTCTTACAGGCCTAATTGTGCTTAACTGTACTTCACCTCCCTTTTTTTATTCTCTAGTAACTCAGAGAGGAGCCTGCCAGAGATTCCTATGAATGCTATCTTGTTTCCCAGGACTTAAGACACATTTCAGACCTCTTTGCTTATCTAACAGTCCTTGTGATTAATGTTTAGCCAGTTAATGATAAATTACAGAGCAATTAAGATAATAAAGGATTCTAACAGCCAATCCTGTTTATATATCAAATACTTGCCAGTCATTCCTTGTCTTGTTTGTATTCTTGGGGTGCCAATACAAAAAAACCCTTAAAAGATTAATTTTAAAGACTACTTTGTCATCCAACCATATCTTAAGTTAAATGAAACCTTTTCTCAAAATCTCTCCATGTGGTATGAGAGGTGTTTGTTTGTTTGTGTGTATGTATGTATGTATGTATGTGTTGTGGCTCTGGGCTTGGATTCAGCTCCTGTGGCTTATATGAGTTCAAGTGAGGAGGACATGGCAGAAAAATATGAGCCGGCAGGGCTCAGTGATGGGAATAGTAACCAGGATGAGGAGATGGACGTGACAAAGGAAGACAGACCTGGTGTATTAGAATTGTCAGGACCTTTGACCTCCTCTGGTTCCTTATCTGATCAACAGCCGAGAATGGCTGACAGAGAAGTTTTGAGAGAGTCTTCTAGTGGAGATGAGAACTTGGAAAACTTGTGGTTAAATGTAAGGAACAGAAGACGATTAAGGAGGCAAACCCAGTTAGAACGAAGGAGGAGGGTGAGTCAATAATTAAGGAAATTAGCACGTTGCCTCAATGAGTATAAAAGGACACAGCTGGGCTGGAAAAATTTGCCAGGAACAAAGTGACTTATTGCGTGAAGACGATACAGCAGAAGCTCTGAGGCTTGAGATTTTTTGCCAGGACTGGTTTGCCAAACAGAGCAAAGATTGTTACTGTGGATTGTAATTTATGACAGCCGTTATCTTGTGAGACTTCTTTCTGTTTGATTTAATTTTGAAACGGCTGCTTTCTGTTTTGCTCGCTTGAATTTTGAAGGGGAGTCATAACATGTATGTATGTATGTATGTATGTATGTGAGAGAGAGACCAGGATGATTTTAACAATTCACTTTTGTGTTGTGACTAAATCCAAGAACAAGCAGTTGAGTGGAGCAAAGTGTTGTCAACTACAAATTTTATCTTTTACACTAGGTTGTGAATTTAAGTTTTATATAATGGAGTATCAGAGACAGAGAAGCAAATAGGCAGTTTTTGTCCTTAGTTTTATATTCATTTCTGAGTCTCAGCATGCTGTTTGAATATGTGATAGTACTATCACAATTATGAGACAGTTTCAATCATTTTTCCCAACAAGTAAAATATAAATCAACAGCAGACTTAGCAGTTCTTATAGTGGTAAATTAAAGTTGGAATAATTTTATTCCTATGATGATAATAAAATCCTGGTTCATGCCTTATTTACCATTCAGATTTCTTTGGACATACTGATAATTTCAGAGTCATGGTTTATTAAGTGAGGAAAGTCTGACAATTGTTATGTGAATCGAGATGTTTTGCTTTTTAATTTTCCTAGGTTTTTTTTTAAAAAAGGAAGAATACCTAATCATATGATGGTGTACACCAGCAGAGTCAAATGATATATTGCGCTCAGAAGTAATTTCAGTGAATTCATCAGCATCCAAAATATAAGAGTGAAAGAAAAGGTGTGGCTTACAAATTTGTTGTAAACCAAATCACTGGTTCTAAAGATCATCTCAAATGGGCAAGTGAAGAAATGAGTGTTGTGAGACCATGATGCAAGGCTTGCCCTTTAGTATTGTGACATGTCTCTGGAGATTCTCAGTCATCCAGGTCATGGTTGTCCCAAATGTGCTTTTTCAAGAGGCAAGTAGACTTTCTGGTTTTTCTTGAAGACGTTTCACTTCTCATCCAAGAAGCTTCTTCAACTCTGACTGGATGGTGGGGAATGGAAGGATTTATACTCCTTGCAGACAGCTGGTCATTTGCATTCTTTTAGCGGGTCATTAAGGTCACTTGGAGGTTTATCTGTGTCATCAGGGTCACCTGAGTGGTGCAGATGGAGATAGATGATGTCATATCCTTTCCCCTGTGTTAAGAGAAGGCTGTTTAAGTTTGACAAAGATGGCCTCTTTGACCCCTCTTTCAAACCAGCAGTCTTCTCTGTCCAAAATGTGGACTTTGTTGTCTTCCCAAAAAATGGCCTTTGTCTTGTAAATGCAGGTGGACTGCTGAATCTAATCTTGGTGTGTTTGTTCTCCTATGTTGTGCCATGCACTTATGAAATGGTTGCTTTGTTTCCCCAGTGTACAGAACTGCACATAGCTCACTGCATTGTAATATCAGACTCATGTAGGGGAGGGATGAGGTTTCAATAAACTTTCACAATTCTTACTTCATCATTTTGACAAAATGGTTGGATTTTACACATGCCTCTAAATCTGTGTTTCTCTGCCTTAGCAATTTTAAGAGGTGTGAACTTCAACCCCCAGCTTCTGGTTGGGGAATTCAGAGAGTTGAAGTCCATACCTCTTAAAGTTGCTAAGGTTAAGAAAGACTGCTCCAATTGTTGATGGGGTTATTTTTTTAAATGGATTGCAAAGGGAAAACAGCCTTTTCCCAACCTAGTACACACCAGAAGTGCTAGAAGCACATTTTCCAGAATTCTTAAACAGTAGAAGACTCAGTCCCAACACATCTGGAGAATAGGCAGAGTTTTTTTATTATGTTTGTCTCTGACAACACATTTGGTATCTAAAGTCCTAGTGTGGAAGTTCTGTATTCTTCCCGGCTCTTAATTCTCAAGGAAATGCTCACCAAGAAAAAGAATAGCAGAAACCTCAGAAGTTTCAGATTTCAGCATCGTTAATAGGAATCATTCTTCCTTCCTTTCTATTATGGTCTTGAAGGAGAATGGTGCAAAAAAAGAGCCAGAACCAGAGTAGAATTTGTTCTGGAATTCCACCCTAATAGGAAAAAGATGAAATCATTTTTTTTAGTTTTATTGTTTTTATCCCATTTTTCTCTGAACAAAAAAAAGTGGTTTACCAAAAAATGGAGAAAGAGTACAATAAAAATAGATTAAGATATCCTTCAATGGAACAAACTTTGAAGTGCATAAGAAATTAAAAAGGCTACAGTTTCCAACTACTCCATTGCTATTGGGACCACTTAAGAAAAGCACCTTGAATGGCATTATTGTTGTGGGCTAGTTTTTTTCTCAACTTTGCACCTAGCAAATATGTTAAACTATAACTCCAATCATACTCACTCAACATGGTTCTGGTCTAGGGCCCTATCAATTTTCAAAAGAAATTACCCATAATATCATGCATATTTATATGCACATTTCAACTATTCTTTGGGCGGTACATTGCAAACATTACAGGAAATGTGCATACCTTCCTGTTACTGTGGTTTGGGGTTTTTTTGGCTGGCTGAGAAGGAAACAGCTGTGCCTTAAAGTTCTTATACAACCACACTTACCAGTGAAGCCTGAGTGCATGTAGAAAGGCAGAAAGACCTTCCATGATGAGTAGAATTGCTATTGTCAGAGCAGCAAAAATGGCAAAGAGGACAAAAATCCCAATGAGTCCTATCCAGCCAGTCATTTTAAAGCCTATTGAAAACAGCAAGTTCCAAAGAACCTCTGAGAGCTCTGAAGAACATAAGAGGGGAAAAAATGCAAGAGAGAAACACACTTAAATATGCCTTGCATCAGTGGTGGGATTCAAATTTTTTTACTACCAGTTCTGTGGGCATGGCTTAGTGGGTGTGGCTTGGTGGCATAGCAAGGGAAGGTTACTGCAAAATCTCCATTCCCTCCCCACCTCAGTAACCTGCTTTCCAGCTCCATTCTTCTGTGCAGGGAAACAAAAGAAGACCCAGCCTATCAGCTGGGACTTGGGAGGCAGAGTATAGATGGGGGCAGGGCCACTCAGAGGTGGGATTTGCCGGTTCTCCGAACTACTCAAAATTTCTGCTACCAGTTCTCTAGAACTGGTCAGAACCTGCTGAATACCACCTCTGCCTTGCATCCCAGAAGAACTTAGTGCTAAGCTGAATTCCAAGAAGCTTCAAGGTCATACCTCCATAGTCATTGGGAACAGAGTTGGCTCATGGGAGATTTTTTTAAGTAGGTGCCAAGTCTTAGGTTTAAGGCATTCGTTTCAGATCATGAAACTCCCATCCTCCCCAAAAGAATTAGGCTGATTTGGGAGTGGATGCAAAGAGGGCCTTAATGTACTCATTTCAGTCTTAAATCTTCAATTCCTACAGAGAAGGGACTCAAAATTTAAGTTCTATGCACCCTAGTGCATCTTGGTCTTGTTCTGTCTGACTAAAGGTCAAATATGGCAAACATCTGGCAAACATTGACAGAAGTGATACTCCTACCTAATTGTCCACAATTATGAAGATAGCAATTATGAGGATAGCAATTTTGAAGATAGCAATTATGACCATGGGATCACAGGCTGAATGGCATGTTCACAGGGACCATTTTATGTTTTTGATTCCTCCTATAGATGTCTCTGCACCACCACCCTTCCCTATCCCAATAAAATATTACAATGCTCTGGAAGAGCTCTAGAAACAGAGATCCGAGCAGCTTTTAAATAATTATCAGCTAGGAATAATATGCAAGTAGCCTGGGTTCGAATCCCAGAAGGGTATGGCTAGCTGACGAGAGCTAAATAGCTTGAAATAGATCTATACTAGTCTCCCTTTATTTCTTTGTTGGTAAAATATAAACACATATAACATCAACACAAAAAGAGTTTGTCGCGAAAGCGACTGCCTGCAAAGGCTCCTGGATTGGAGCTAAAAGCTAAATACATTACTAACATGGGCTGCATCCTGCCCATACCCTTTTATCTTTCTTGGTGATTTCAATCTACCTCATATTGACTGGACCCTAAATGATTGTACAACTGAAATCATACACACAACCTTCTACAATGCTACTACAAATCTGGGACTGGAACAACTAGTAACCAACAACACTAGACTAAACAACTGCCTCGATCTCATCTTCTGCAATAGTTTGAATTTAATTTACGGAATACAAACTAAAGAACCCTTTTCCAGTAGCGACCACAATATGATTGACTTTTGTCTCAACATACGTCCACACAAAAATCACCACAATGATGTAATTCCCAATTGTAACTTCAAAAAAGGCAACTATGATCTTATACACAACGATCTCTCATCCCTTGATTGGCAATCTCTATTGACTGGATGCAATACTGTTGAAGACCATTACAACATATTTTTACTTGAAGTCAAAAGAGTCATCAAACTATATGTACCAACAACAACTCCCAAAACAAAACAAAAAAGCAGATTACCCATATCAATAAGGAAACTTCAATCCAAAAAGAGATCACTCTGGCGGAAAAACAAATCTGGTCACGTTGCCAATTTCAAAAACCGATACAAAAATTTATGCCACCAGATAAAGACCGAATGCACCAATTATCACATTAAACAAGAGGAAAACCTTCTAAGCACCAATTCCACCCGTGCTTTTTACAATTTTGTAAACAACAAACTAAAAGACTCAAGGTCCATCCCTCCCTTGATAGGACCTGATGGTAAAGACTGCAACGACGACACCATTAAAGCCAACATCTTTAACACATTCTTCGGCTCAGTATTTGTAAACAGCAATCGATCATGTCCAGAATTTCCTAGCCGTACCACAGATAACAACAATGATCTAATACATATCGATTTCACAGAAGACAATGTTGAAAAAGCACTACGCAACCTAAAACCATCTCTATCTATTGGACCGGATGGAATATGTGCCTACTTCTTAAGAAAGCTATGCACTGCCATAGCCAAACCTCTAAGCATAATCTTTGAAAAATCTTTCAGAACCAGCTCCTTGCCTAACCTATGGTCACAAGCCACAGTCATCCCCATCTTCAAAAAGGGAGACCCAAGCCTAGTTGAAAATTACAGGCCAATCTCCTTATGCTGCGTCACCTGTAAAGTCATGGAATCAATTATTAACCAATCCATCATCCTTCACTTAGAGACAAATAACCTACTCTCCAATAAACAATTTGGTTTCAGAAAAAAACTATCCTGTAATCTGCAACTCTTACACTGCAAAAACATATGGACGACACAACTCGACCAGGGCAAAGCAATAGACGCAATCTACATAGACTTCTGTAAAGCCTTTGATTCAGTGGTACACGACAAACTACTCCTAAAAATAAAATCCTATGGTATCTCTGGACAACTGAATAACTGGATAGAAGCATTCCTGTCAAACAGACAACAAATGGTCAAAATCGGGAGCGTACTATCAAATCCAGTACCTGTCAATAGTGGTGTTCCCCAAGGCAGTGTTCTAGGACCAACTCTCTTCATACTCTACATAAACGACCTCTGTGATCATATTAAGAGCAATTGCGTTCTCTTCGCTGATGATGTAAAGCTGTTCAATACCACAGACAATACTGCTACCCTACAAAAAGATCTTGACTATGTATCAGAGTGGTCAAACAAATGGCAACTTCAAATCTCAACAAATAAATGCTCTGTCTTACATATTGGCAAAAAAAATCAGAAAATAAAATACAAGCTGAATAGTCAAGATCTTGTTGATGACTCAAGCTCTGTAAAGGACCTTGGAATACTCACCTCTAATGATCTAAGTGCTAGAGCCCACTGCAACTACATAGCCAAAAAGGCATTAAGAGTTGTTAACCTAATCCTACGTAGCTTTTTCTCTGGTAATATCACACTACTAACCAGAGCATACAAAACATTTGCTAGACCAATACTCGAATACAGTTCATCAGTCTGGAACCCACACTACGTATCTGATATTAGCACAATTGAGAAAGTCCAGAAATATTTCACAAGAAGAGTTCTCCACTCCTCTACTCGTTGTAGAATACCTTATGCCACCAGACTTGAAATTCTAGAACTTGAAAACCTTGAATTACGCCGTCTTCGGTCTGACTTAAGCATGGTATATAAAATCATACATTGCAATGTCCTACCTGTCAATGAATACTTCAGCTTCAACCATAACAACACAAGAGCACACAATAGATACAAACTCAAAGTAAACCGCACCAAACTTGATTGCAGGAAATACGACTTCAGCAATAGAGTGGTCAATGTCTGGAATACTCTACCCGACTCTGTAGTTTCTTCCCCAAACCCCAAAAACTTTAACCTTAGACTGTCTACTATTGACCTCACCCCTTTCTTAAGAGGTCTGTAGGGGGCGTGCATAAGCGCACCAACGTGCCTACCGTCCCTGTCCTATTGTTTCTCTTATTCTTTTATTTTTCTTATATGTACCCATTTCATGTATTCACAACTATGTATACATTTATACTTATTATCTTGTAAACAATTGGCAAATCAAATAAATAAATAAAAAATAAATAAATAAAAGATGAAATTGGAAGCAGTATACTCCATCCCATATTTGGGTAGACCAGGTTGTCCTGATAGACCGGTTTTCCCGGAAAAACACTTATCAGGAAGGACATAATTCCTACAACTAGGAACATGGAATAAAATTGCCAAGAACCAAAGTGCAGAAATATCTTTGGGGAAAAAATTGACAGAATCACAACAGAGCTCAAGGTAATCCAATTTGGTCCTAATCTGCAAACTTTAAGTGGACTCAACATTTTCCAGTTTTAATTTTACATTGCTTAGTGCTTTGCAGCTGCTCCCTCACTTCCCGGAACTGATGCAAGTTTTCTTTGTCATTGTGACTAAACTAGATGAAGTCTAGATCCCTGGACCAGTGCTTTCCTACAACTGCAACATCGAGGTACATTTCAAGGGCAATGTTACAACAAACCTCTCTACTTGTGACCTTAAAAGAAGGACCTAATTGATATCTTGAAGGAATCAGCAAACTATAAAAACATAATTAAAATCTTTGGTTGAAAAGGTTACAACCCTGATGAAAAGAGATTATTCAGAATCTTCTCTAACCTGGTGCTATCCAACTTCCATCACGCCCATCTAGCATAATCAATGTCCATGATGCCTGGGGAACTACAACACAAACCATCAGTGGGCACAAGGTTGGTGAAGGCTGTTCTGAGTGGATACCAAATATGGCCCAACCAACTATTTCTCATAGCAATAGCACTTAGACTTATATACTGCTTCACAGTGCTTTACAGCCCTCTCTAAGCAACTTACAGAATTAGCATATTGCCCCCAACAATCTGGGTCCTCATTTTACCGACCTTGGAAGAATGGAAAGCTGATTCAATCTTGAGCAGGTGAGATTTGAACTGCCAAATTGCAGTCAGATGGCAGATAGCAGAAGTAGCCTGCAGTACTGCATTCTAACCACTGCACCAACATGGCTCTTATAGGCAAGAGGATCAGTAGCTGCAAACTCACGTGCATGAGCCAAGCTAAGTGCCCAAAGCCGGAGATAGGAAGCTGTATTGGAAATGCAACCCAAGCAATATTCAATGGTGTGGATTGCCTGGTGCACGCAGATGTCTCCAAAGTTGAACTGCAATAAAGTTTTTAGGGGGAAAAAAAAGAAAATAAGGTTAAATACTCCTATAGAGTTTTGCATTTCTATTGTACTGCAATTAAGTGGAACTTGATTTAGCTATTTTTCAATTTTATTATTATTTTTATTATATTTTCCTATTGATTTCAGTCAGTTTATTCTAAACACCACTAAATCTAGAAACAGTAGATGGATGCTAAACAGCACTACATCTAGAAACTTAAATGAGTTCTAAATAAATTGTAAATGAGTTCCATGGACCGCCAAAAAGTTTTAAGCATTTCCCCCTTTCTCTTCACAGACACACTACCACCAAATTATACTACATTTGTTGAGCTATTGCACTGTCCCTTTCTTTAAATCTTCCAACTCCTACATCTTACTTCTTCATGGTCATGGCCTCCATGGCCTCCACCGCTATCAACTTCTTGGTTTGTTTTCTCAGAGTTGTTGGAGTCCATGATCTCTACTTCGATATCACCAGTAGGACTTTCTGACAGACTTGATGAAGCCAACTTAAGAGAAATCAACAGAGATTATCAGCATCCAGTAATAATCCTTTGGGTTCCCAACATGCATGCCCTTCCTGGAATCATGGGAGAGCTTCTGCTAGCCAGTGAAGACAGATTTGGGATTATGTTCTGATTTGGTGTAAGATACCTCCCTATAATTCACACTACAAATACTATATGACCTATTGTATTCTAGCCAACTCTGATCACAACCTTCTGTACTTGTTTCTATGTACTGGGTCACATACAATGCAGAATATTTTGGCTTGCTCTGACTGGAATGTATGCAAGTCATAATTTATGTTCCAAACACACAAGCAAGCCATGGTTTCTCCAGTTCCCCTATCTTCTCTGCTCTTTTGTAGTAGCAGTTTTTAAAAAAATGGAATAAAATCATGTCACAGTTATTGGTTTAGATGTAACATTTTAAAAAGTTTCCCCAGTTCTTATTGTTTGCAAACTGGCAGACATCAGACATCCTGTTCATAAATCAGATCCTGATTTGGCAGTTATTCACAATGGTATTTAATGGTATTTGTTCAGATACTTATGACCTTGACCCAATTATGATAGATTGAATACTATATTGTGACATTATGTCTGAGCCTGTACAAGTTTAACTCTTTCTATTGAAAAAAATCAGAAGTTTTCCTAAGAGGAAGAAAGATTCCAACTTGACAGGATAGAGTAGGTTCAGCAAAGGGTAAAAAGAAGAAATCTGAAGTATGAAAAAAATGATTTTTTAAAATCATTCTCAGGAATGTTCAGGAATAGAATAGAATAGAATAGCAGAGTTGGAAGGGACCTTGGAGGTCTTCTAGTCCAACCCCCTGCTTAGGCAGGAAACCCTACACCACTTCAGACAAATGGTTATCTAATGTCTTCTTAAAAACTTCCAGTGTTGGAGCATTTACAACTTCTGCAAGCAAGTTGTTCCACTGATTAATTGTTCTAACTGTCAGGAAATTTATCCTTAGTTCTAAGTTGCTTCTCTCCTTGATTAGTTTCCACCCATTGCTTCTTGTCCTGCCCTTTGGAGAATAGCTTGACTCCCTCTTCTTTGTGGCAGTGCCTGAGATATTGGAACACTGCTTTCAGGTCTCCCCTAGTCCTTCTTTTCATTAGACTAGACATACCCAGTTCCTGCAACCGTTCTTCATATGTTTTAGCCTCCAGTCCCCTATCATCTTTGTTGCTGTGGGGAAAAAAACAAGGCTCTACCTGCATTTAGGCAAGAATGCCTAAATGCACAGGTATAAAATAAGTGATACCTGGTCAACAGCAGTAATTGCAAGGGGGATCTAGTTGTTCTGGTGCACAGCCACTTACGTGTGAGCCAGCAGTGGCAAAATAGCCAGTGCATCAGCAGAGGGATAGTATCACTTTATACTGCACTAGTAAGACCACATTTGGAATACTGTATCCAGTTCTGGTCACCACGATACAAAAAAGATTTTGAGGCTCTAGAAAGAGTACAGAGAAGAGCAACAAAGACGATGAGGTATGTGGAGGCTAACCCATACAACTAACACTTGTGGGAACTAAGTATGTCTATTTTAGAAAGAGAAGGACTAGAGTGGCATGATAGCTGTCTTCCAATACTTGAGGGCAGGGGTGGGGTTCAAATTTTTTAACAACTGGTTCTGTGGGCATGTCTTAGTTGGTGACATGGCTTGGTGGTCATGTGACTGGGTGGGCGTGGCTTGGTGGTCATGTTATTGTATGGGTGTGGCCAACTCAGCATCACTCACATCGAGGCACGCATCTCCTCGCCTGGCCTCTCATGACTGTGGGGATGCTGCAACAGTCGTAAATGTGAAAAACGGTCATAAGTCACTTTTTTCAGTGCCATTGTAACTTTGAATGGTCACTCCACACAAGCAAAGCACCAGCAAAGGAGGGAAAAAGAAAACTCCAGAGAAGTTCCTGAGACAGGAAGTCTAGTCCTGCCAAGAATGTAATAAGGGTTAATGGAGAGGCAGTTTCTGTAAGCAACACCAGAATGTTTCCTTCCTGCCTTCCTTACAGGATTAGGCCAGTAATTTCTTTTAACAACCGGTTCTCTGAACTAATTAGAATGTTAACAACTGGTTCTAGCGAATAGGTGCAAACTGGTAGAATCCCACCCCTGCTTGAGGGGCTTTTGCAGAGAAGAGAGGGTCAATCTATTCTCCAAAGCACCTGAGGGCAAGATAAGAAGTAATAAGTGGAAGTTCATTAAAGAGAATTCCAATCTAGAACTAAAGGGAAACTTCCTTACAGTGAGAATAATTAATCAGTAAAATGGCTTCCCTCCAGAAGTTGTGTGTGCTCCATCACTGGAGGTTTTCAAGAAAAAGAGATTAGAGAATCATTTGTCCAGAGGGTCTCCTGCTTGAGCAAGGTGTTGGACAAAACCCCCTTCCAACCCTGTTATTCTATGTTCTAATATAAGGAGTTACCTAGATTTCATTTAAATATAAAAGAAAAACTTCCCGAGGATAAGATTTGGACAACAGTGGAACAATTTTCTTACAGAAGCTGTGGGTTCCTCACCTCTGAAAGTTTTTAAGAACAGGATTGATTTTCACCTGTCATTGATTACTTAATCTGTTTTTCCCCGGACAGTGCAAAAGGTTGGCTTGCAAGGTTCTTGCGATGCTTTCCAACTGTACAATTCAATGTTTCTATGACATTTTTGCCCCCGTCTTCTGTCTTTATTTATTTGGCAATCCCTTGGCAGAAGAGACCTTTTTCCTTACCCTATTCTGAGCTTTCTGGTGCTTGGCTCGGATAATAAAAGGCTGAATCAGAAGCATCCAAGGTATGGCAATCAAGGCGAAAATGACCAGGAAAGTTTGAACTTCTTGCTAGGGGAAAAGAAAGAATTGATACTATCATACAACGCTCTAACCCAAATAAACCCAACTAATCAACAAACCACATCTAAAGAAATAATGGCTGGTGCAACATGTGAAATCTTTCCATATCAAAGATTTGCAGGCTCCAGCCTTCTTTTACACCTATTAATAATTACTTGAAAGACATTTCTGTTTCCCTAAAATCATATGATACTTCTATGAGAAAACCAGAATGATCTGGCTGCAGCTAATTGCATGAGTGTTTCTTACTGAAGTGTGATTTTATTTGCAGAAAAGTATCAGATGGGGAACCTTTACTCACAATGTGGCCGGAATATTTAAATGCCCAGCTGGGCCTTATGCCATATTTTCATACAAAAATAGCTTCTATATGGTATGAGAGTTGCGCTAAGCTATCATGGTTTGTTGAACAAGCAGACAAAAGATACCTTGCTACAACTGGGATGCAAAAATCAGAGTAGTCATTAGATGGCAGCAAAATACAATACAACAACAACAACAAAAACAACAATAATACAAAACACTAACTCTTTGCTGCCATCTAGTGGACGTCTGGATATACTAGATATACTATTTTAAATTATGACTTTTCCAATGAGGTTAACACCTAGATACTTGTGTGCAATAGCTGAGATCAAGAGATAGCTCAGAATGGTCAGAATGAGAAAGGTTTCTCAAGTCAGCCTCTTCCGGAAGGAATAAATTAATCATGTATAAGGAGTTACAATATACGTTTTAAATAGAAATTGGGCATGCGTGTTCACAGGGGGTAGGAAGGAGGTTCCACAACAATTAAGCAACTGGTTGTATGATCCTGCCTTTTTAATAATATGTTGTACAGTACGCATAAACAAGAGGCAGGGATTTCGTTCATGCAGTTGGGGAGGCCATTTTGATTTTTGAACCCTTCCCATGAATACCACTGAGACAAAGAAAATTATTTCCCTTCCAATTTGACATTCCCAGCTGCAAGTGAACAGAAATGATACTGAGTTTGCTTCAAGAGAATGCAAGATGGTTAGACAAAGATAGCAAACTGACTACAATTTTGCCCTTGAGTAAGTAAACAACCCAATTCGTCATCTGCGTTTAAAAATATGTGCTGTCTGACTTATTTTTCTCTCTCTCCCTCTTTCTCTCTATGCAATGCTAATTCTATATCCAGGCCTAAATTATTATCCTTCAGTTTCAGTGATGTCTTTGAGACAGGCTATTTGATAACCATGCTCTAAACAATCACTTTATAGCTTCTGTGTATTTAAAACCTATTAGATCTGAAATATCTATTTTTTTACAAACATAATTAATGGTCTAAACCATCCAGGCTGCAGGTAAGTGAAGGATTATATACCAGCTGCCCAGTCTTGTAGCCAGCTATTTAGCCAACCATTTTGCTACTGATTCCAAAGCCAGCTAAATAATCTGAGTTTTTATGATAAATAATGTTTCTTTGAGTCTGGCCTTCCATAAGACATAATGCTTTAAAATTATAAAGTATTTTGTTGGTTTTGATTTTGTGAATGCAGATTTTCTATTTATTTCTGCATTATATAAAGATTGCCAAATTTTGGTTAGTTTCACTGTAAGCCATTTGTTTGGATTTACATTTTATGTGAAAATCCAGATACTTGCTCGACTTAAGTCATTTAACAAATTTGTATAGATGCTCATCTTAACAAATAACTCGAAGCCGCTAACAATAAATATAGATTAAAAATAGATTATTGAAAACAACAGTGAAACTGCAGCAATTGAAAAATTGTTGAGTCACCTCACGGCAACTTGACAACACAAGACAAGCTATCCATGCTGGGTTTTACTATAAAATAAGCCAAGACCCAACCTGATATGTGGCCCCAGGGAATATATCTACGCACTTGAATTAGTATCTATTTTGCTATTACAATATGTCTGCATTATAATACTGAATGCTTATCTGCAGCACTGCCTATAACAAACTACCATAACACCAAAATAACAGCATGTGGACAATAGCATCATCACACAGATGCTGCCATTATGTGCTTGTGGCCAGACATGTAACGCAAAATGCACCCTAAGACATTTGTGTGATTTTTTTTTTTGCTTCTCTTCCTCTCCACTCATGCTGACATGAATAAAATCTGCTCTTTGTCTGAAGTTTCTAGTTTTCCTATGTCTAGTTTTCCTACGTGTTGCACAGAAGATCTATTATGATTTAAAGCAAACTTTAGACCAGAGATAATGCTTTTTAAAAAAAAAACATATATTTCAGAAAGGTATTCTAAACAACAGAAAATTACCCTGGGAAATGACTGTGCCAGACAGTCATTTTTCAAAAAAGATTTCCCATTTTTTAAAAATTGTATTATATTTTCATTTAAGATTATTTGGCCAAGATGAAATATATTCCCAACTTCTGTCTCACATGTCTAAGCTAATGACCAAACAGATTGGCTAAACATTGCTAATAATTATTTAGGGTTTCATATGAACATTATTTTAGGACTCATTCAGAGAAGGAACTTTGGACTTTATTCAAGCACTGCTTCTCCCCATTTTTCATTAAAGTAGCTGCAATAAGTTGACTTCTTAAAGCAGCAACACCTTTTGCATGGAGCCTGAGAAAGGACATGGTCTTTTAATTAGAAGCAAAGAAATACTGTGCTTGCATTCACTTAAGTTCCTGAGAGCTGTTCCTAATTGTTTTTATAATGTGCACAGCCCTAATCTCTAATTTGATAAAGGGGAAAACAAGATTGCCTCACAAACAGGAGGAATGAATTCAAACATATAGAAGCTTAAAGACATATAGAAGCTAAACATATAGAACATATAGAAGCTAAACATTCATAAGCCTGAACATTTTCAAACTTCAAAATACAAGATGTATTTGTAATAATTCTAAAGTGAGATATTATATCATACGAACTACTATGTTAGGATTAACTTAACAGAAATATGATACAAAATATTGTTTAGAGACATCACCATGTGATAACCTGTCTCTGTAAAGAAAATGGACTGAATTTCTTTTTGAGTTTAAATCAGTTAACTTCAGTATTTGCTCCTAACACAATACAAGGTTGTATCTCAGGGAAAACATGGATTAACAGAAGCTACCATTTTAAAAATAAATATTTTCTCCTCCATATGTACAGGTAGTCCTCAACTTACAACAGTTCATTTAGTGACCATTCAAAGTTACAACAGCATTGAAAAAAGTGACTTATGACCATTTTTCACAGTTATAACCTTTTTAGTATCCCCATTCCCCATGGTCATGTAATCAAAATTCAGATGCTTAGCAATGACCATTGCTGTGTCCCAAGATCACAGTCAATGGGGAAGCCAGATTCACTTAACAACCAGATTACTAACTTATCAACTGCAATGATTCATGTAATAACTGTGTCAAGAAAAATTGTAAAATGGGGGCAAAACTCACTTAACAATAGAAATTTGGGGCTCAATTATGTTGAGGACTACCTGTATAATAAATTTGCTCTCTGATTGACTGAAATGCACTTCCTTGAAAACAACAAGAGATGATAATCCCAAATCCCTCCACCTTTAAATAGGTGTGCTGAAATGAGTAGGACTGAATCATAACTAACAGGTGCATCTAGTAAAGCCACTCTTAACTGTAATGACAGATTTCATTTGATACTCTTAGTTGATGAAACATTTTGTCCTGAAGGTGTTTTTCTTTCAAGAGGCAACTGGACTTTCTGGTTTTTCTTTGAAGATGTTTTGCTTCTCATCGAAGCGCTAAAGAAGCTTCTTGGATGAGAAGCGAAATGTCTTCAAAGAAAAACCAGAAAGTCCAGTTGCCTCTTGAAAAAAACACCTTTGGGACAACCATGACCTGGATGATTGAGAAACTCCATAGACATTTATACCTGATGCTCGTATAAAGGAGGATTTGTTGCATCATCGTAGCTAAACATAAACATATTGATAAAGTGAATGAGGATGCTTGGAGCATCCTGGACATTATACACATTAAATCGGCACCACTTGAAAATAATCATGAAGACGAGGTAACCAAATAGGGAGATTATGAAGATCATCTCTGGAATGAACTGCAGGACAATGTTGGTAGTTTGCTTGAAGTAACTAGGCAAATAATGAAACAAGAGAAAGAAAATATTACTGGGGTGGATATAGATATCCATTGCATAGTGTTGGGGGGTGGGGGGAATTAGAGAAAAGTCATTACAGACAATCCATCAATGATGAGAAATTCTTTATGGGCTTTTTTTTAACATAAGAAAGAAAATGATTTTGTGGTTGTAGAATAGGGGATTGCAATGAAATCCTGGAGGGAAAAGTTGGATTAGGATTGTATGCATAATTGCCGAGATGAAGATTGGAAGCCACACACATATGTAATATTTTGTAGTCTTTCATTTTCTTTTCCTTTTTTTTCTATCTTCTTTTCTCTCTGCTTTTTCCTCTCCTTTTTCACTTTTTCTTCACTATATTTTTCTTTCTTTAAATGTATTTATTATCTATGGGAAAATTTCTTTTAAAAAAGTCCAACCACATAAATTATGGGATTGGTATTGTGACATTACAACACATGCTTTCATCCCTTGCTCACAGTCTCACAGGTGCCAATAACACTGTTCAGCAGGGGAAGGAATGAGATTATGGTGAACCAGTAGACATCTAGAAGTTCCATCTTCCAACATCCCTGGCAGTATTGCAGAAGTCAGAACTATTAGGAGTTGTAATCTTGCACTATCTGAATCACAAAGATTTCCTACTCTGGAAAAAGTTAGTACTCCTCGGAGGTTTTGAACTACAATGCCCACAAAACATTTACCATTGGCATCCAGCTAGAGTTATTATGAGCATGGAAATCAAATAAAGTCCATGCTGGATGGCATAAAAGAAATAATGCTCTCATCATAGCAACTGGGATCAGCACGGCTTTTGTTTGCTAAGGATTTGGGAGGCTTTATTTTCCATCCTTTGGTTGATATTGAAAAGTAAATTTGGTGAAAGAGAAGATCAATCAAAACAAAACAAACTTTTGTTCCTTAGACTACCATAAGAAGGGTGAGGCACAGTCAATTAAAAACCATACAATATGTATTTCAGGGTCTAAACAATGTGAAAACTTTGTGTATGCATGTGTGTGTATAAGAAGATATATAAAAAACAAGTCTAAAAGGAGGAGTAAGGAAACATAAAGATTAGTATGTGGAAGACCAAGGGAAGTCAACCACTCTGTTATCTAGATGGAGTGGATTTGGACAGCTACAGTAGAATATCATCCAAACACTTGCTGTGCCTGTAAAGTCACTAATACTTACATATGATTGAAGAGACTAAGTACGACCCCAAAAACCATGTGTGTGATTCCCATGATGATAGACATTTTCATTTTGTACGAGTTCAAGAAATTCAGCTTATTGACGGCAATATTCCAGATCTGAAAGAAAGAGATAAGGAAAGCAAAGAATAAAAGACAAGTGAAATCTTAAAGTAAAATACTTGCTTTCTTTTTACCACCGAGGAAAAACAGAGAGAAAGGTGATTGAAGATCACTCTGTTAGGGTGAAGAATTGGAACCTAATTAACCTGTATAGTTCAATTATTATAACTTTATTTAAAAAGAAAACATTAAATATTTGATTTTTGTATTATTATAACAATACAGATGCCTCTGCTTCTATTTGGACAAAAATCCATTTTTTTTTTCAAAATCAGTCACGCTTTTCCAGGAATTCTATACTATAGGCTACAAACATCAAACTCAGGGTTGGGATTCAACCAGTGTTACTACCAGTTTGGTGTAAGTGCGTTTTGCACGCACACACGCACTTCACATACCCGCACACCTGACGCGCGCTGCATGCACATGTACACCATTTGCAAAAAAAACATCTGCTCTGCCACCAGGACAGCTGACAAGTGCTGCGCACAGGTGCGCAGCATTTGAAAATCCTCTTCCTTCCTGCTTTTTCAACCTCAGCTGTGGCGCGCAAAGCAACTGAGGTTGAAAAAGCAGGAAATAAAGGACAGGTAAGAGCCCAGGTGGGCGGGTGGGCCAAACAGATGACCAAAAGGTTGTCACAGTGAACCGGTTCGATGTGAACTGCTCTTCAGAGCTACCGGTTTTATAGAAACCAAACTGAACTGGTAGCATCCCACCCCTGATGAAACTATGTATATTCTCCAAATTAGGAGTAAGTGCTTGAGAAATATCATTTTCAGGGGCTAAGGATCTTCCCATTTATGTCCTTAGCCAATCAACTCTACTTAAATAAAAATGCATCTCAACCAAAGTTCAGTAGGTCTTGTTGAGGATAATGAAGTGTGGGATAAAACTTTCAGCCTAACATAAGTTGCTATTCAAAGTTCCAAAAAAAATGTTAGATTTCTGGTTCTTCCAGAATGTATTCAAGACCTCACACATTCACAAAATATGGGATGGGAAGAGATTTGTGTATGATGTATTGCTGAAATATTTTTAAGTTACCAGTTGTATTTTATAAGTCTTCTTAAGAATGAACCAGCTGAAAGGCGACCTGTGTTGTAGTCAGGCCATTTCTGTAATAAGTGGAGACACAGCCAGGTCTACTCTATCATTCTATGATGGATACTGGAATAGTTTGGAAGATGAATAGCCATCAATGCTGCCATCTGCAGGCCATCTGCACTGATATCCTGTGACTGACTGACTGACTCTCTCTCTCTCTCTCTCTCTCTCCCTCCCTCCCTTCCTCCCTCCCTCCATCTCTCTCTCCCTTTCTCCCTCCGTCCCTCTCTCACTTTCTCCCTCCCACCCCCTCTCTCTTTCCCCCTCCCCACCAAGGGTCATTTTTTTAAAAAAATCAATACACAGAATTTTCCTACTTTTTCCGTAGCAATTTAATTGTTTACATATCTGTAGTATTAAAAAAAAAAGACAGTGAAGACAACCGTCTTGGCTCTTTGAAAACCTTTTGAGGTACCTTTGCCTTTGCTGACTTCTTCCTTCAAAATTGGAGTCCCAACCATTCACCCCAATCTCTCTCTCTTCCTATTAATTGACAAATAAGTATTTCTTATTACCGGATCAATTCCAAAAGGATAGGGGTTTCCGGAATATACACCTTTTGTTTTTGGATCTAACTGCAGAACACCACTCTCATGAACAATTTCGTCCCTGTGGATGAACAGAAAAATGTTAAATTATTAGGTTGTCACTGAGATGTGATAGCCTTTTCTCACAATAACTAATGTAAGAAAAAACAATATAAACACACTGAAGCCCAAAACATTGGCTGTGCAGTTTCTATGCGGACAGCTTGGGTTACAGGTGACTTTTTGTACTAAACAGCTTATATAATTTGTGTACATTCTTTCATTTCCTATGATGAAGCAGCTTGCTCTTTCATCAATGGGCCCAAAGTCACTCTTCACATCTTCAATATTATCTATTACCATATAAACTATCCTACTTTGCTCTATGTTGACCCTGTTCCCTAAGTGAGGTTGATGAAGTTTGGAGTATGATGACTTTAAGAACTCTTCTCTATAACTCATTACAAGAAAAGATATGGAATGTTTCTTGATGCAGTGCAGTGCAGAAGATACAACATGGCAGGCCTCAATTTATATGTTTCTGTCACTTTGTTGGTTAAAAGTGAATGTTCTAGAGATCCTGTAAAATAGTTCTCCATTGCATCTGAATATGGACACCAGATGTCCTGGAGATTATATTAAGCATGTCAGTAATTTTCAGATGCCTAAATATAAGCATGGTCAGATCTCTCGGGGACCTATAATTCCTACCACCGCATCCATAGAGAGATATTTGTGGGTTAGGGGTTATGAATAATTTGAGAAATCTATTTTGCTTTTATTATGAGCTTGATAGAATCAAAAGTTTAGAATTGGCTCAGAAAAAAATACAGTATTTTATAGCCATGTCTTTTCTGAATCAAACTAAGGGAAGTTTTTAGTAACTACTGTTTCCTGTTTGCTTTTAATCATAGTCAGCTGCTGATTAAAGACCTTTATGAAATATGAAATGTTGCACTAGAGATCATTAGGGATAAATTCAGAAAGAGGTTGTGAAACAAAAGAGCAAACTGAGCTGCTATGTTCTGCAATTATCAAGCATTGTTTACCACTTACGTCCATCCACCATTGTTATACATGGGTCGGACACGCCAGGAAGATCCAAATATGTTGAGCGATTTGGAGAAGCAATCGTTGTAAATAAAGCCAGTGTAAATGGAGAAGATACTCATGAGAAGGATCAAGTAGCGTCCACTGAAAAAGATGTCCCAGATCTGCACAGGAATATTATATATAATCAAGGGATGATCGAGAAACAAAGTTTACTGCAGCCTCATTTACAGAACCCTTCTCCATTTGGCGTCTTCTAGAAATGGGGGACATCAATTCCCCAAACTGATCCTGCTAGCTGGGAAGGCATCAGATTGAAGAGATCTGCGTAAACAGTTCTTCACCTATTGTTTACTGCAAGGGTCTTCAAACTTGGCAAGTTTAAGATTTGTGGACTTCAACTCTCAGAATTTCTGAGCTAACATGACTGGAGGAGGAATTCGGGGAGTTGAAGTCCACAAGTCTTAAAGCTGAGAAGTTTGAAGACCCCTGAGTTAGTGCTTTGGAAAGAAATGAGTCATCTTCGGAGACCCTTCTTCTCACCATGAGAAGTGAGAGGGGTGATGAAGAAGAAAGCCTGCTTAGATATGGGACTCTGATTATGAAGTGCCTCTCCAAGAAGTATGACTGGCCCTTTTACATCTTTTCAGTTCTGGATAAAGATATTTCTCGGCATTTCTAGAGGGTTGCTCTCGGTTTTATATTTTATATTTTAAGTCACTTTGGGTAGTGAGATGTGTGGCACATAAAGTTAATAAATAATATCTTTTCTTTGTTATCAGCTGGTTGTTAACAATTGATAACTGGTTGATTGGCTTCCTCTCATTGCTTGTTTTTTTCTGTAATATTTTAAAATACATCATTAGAAATTTTATGCTTTAAATAACTTTGTAATCTATCTCACAAATTTCAGAGATTGGGCAGAGTAGAATATACCGGTAATAAATAAATAAATAAAAACGCTTCGAGTGCTGCTTGCTGTAAGCATTGAGATACCATCCTAAGTCACCTACCTCACTGTCACTTTTCTGAGCTAAAAAGTACTTCTCATTGCTGATCATCCACAGTGCAAAGCCCAGCATGACTGTACCATGACCACAATCGCCAAACATCACCGCAAATAAAAAAGGGAAGGTAATGATAGTGAAGGGGGCTGTGGGAAGGAAAAAAAACACCTGTCACATCACTTGTTAAACATGTACACATTGCCAATGAATTGATGTTTCAATGAGAGGACATTTTTTAAAAAATGGATACCTTTAGTTTTTGTAATTGTTATCCTGCCTTTTTTTTTTTTGTCATATACAACTCAAAGTGGATAATGTATCGATACTCCTTCCTCCTCTTATTTTCCCACAACAACAACCTCGTGAAGTGAGTTGGATTGAGAAAGAGTGACTGAGCCAAGGCCACTCATCAAGTTTTTCATGCCTAAGGTGGGACTAGAAGTCATGGCCTCCTGATTTCCAGGTTAATACCTTACCTAATGCACTAGTTTGATTTAATTTGAAAAATCATGGTTTCTGTGGTTGGAAATTAGGAGAACTGAAGTCCAGTATAGTTGGAGGCATTGACTGCTTAGTCTTGTTGTTAAGGATCACTCCAGAAGAGCCAGGAATACAATATCACATTTCTCTGCTCAACCCACCCCAAAAAGCAAGGGATTCTACATCAATTCACAAACATCTTTGTTTTTTTTATGTGATGAGGAATTTTTAGAGCCTCCCAATTCAATGTATGGATTGAAGAACCCTTTTGCCTGACACTGGACGTCTGTTTCCCAGCTTCTGAGAAGCAATAGAACCCTTCAACATTTTCCTTATCTATCGATGCAGAAAGTACACATTTGACTACAATTGGGAATCAGAGATAAACCTGCTAACTTAAGTAAGGACCAACCCATCTTTTAACCAAAACTTGAACAGAGACTAATGCTCTGAGTTTCAATGAAAATTTTAAAATGCTTTCTCAGTTGGAATCAACAGATGGCACTGTTACACAGTATATTATGCTAGTTTTCCATATATATGTATACACACACATATACACATATTGCATACATACATACATACACATACACATATACAGATAAAATAATGAAATGCTGTTAATTTAAAACCATGTTTTCCTTTGGGTTGAAATGCCCCAAGCAGAGAATGAATTATAAGTGGCAATTAGGATTATCGTCTATAAAATAGAACATGGGCAATTGTACTGAATATCTGGAATTGAATGTTTTCAGATAAAACATATAATTTTAGGATCTGGACTTAATAGGTGTGGAGGTGTCTCTTTTTAGATCAAGGCTTCTCAATCTTTTTAAATGTTTAATCCTCAAAGTTTTCTAAACCCTGCCTTCTTTGCCTTTGACAATTATAGAAGCAAAAAAAGACAAAAAGGTCCTTTATCTACTTCCAGGCAGTCTATTACTATATTGGTTATTTATAGTGACCTTTAAAAATATAACGTTTCAATGGCTTATTCTGAATTTCATTTAGACTAGCTCTGAGTTCTACCTGTGATATATATTGGATGTATATTGTAACAGAAGCAGTATTTTAGGTGGTAATATTTTGTTTGTTTATTGTTTATTTCCCACCTTTATTATTTTTACAAATAACTCAAGGCGGCAAACATATCCATCACACCTTCCTCCTATTTTCCCCACAACAACCCTGTGAGATGAGTTGGACCAGAGCTTTCCAAACTTGGCAGCTTTAAGACTTGGGGACTTCAATTCCCAGAATTCTCCAGCCAGCATAGCTGGCTGGAAAATTCTAGGAGTTGAAGTCCACAAGTCTTAGAGTTGCCAAGTTTGGGAGCTCTGGGTTGGACTAAGAGAGAACCACTGGCCCAAGATCACCCAGCTGGCTTTCCATGGCTAAGGCAGGACATGAACTCATGGCCTGGTGCCTTAACCATTAGGATAGAATAGAATCACAGAGTTGGAATAGACTTTGGAGGTTTTCTAGTCCAACCCACTGCTCAATCAGGAGGCCCTATACTCTTTCAGGCAAAGGGCTGGCCAGTCTCTTTTTAAAAACCTCCAGTAATAAGAACACCCACAACTTCTGAAGGCAAGCCATTCCACTGATTGATTGTCATAACTATCAGGAAATTTCTCCTTAGTTCTAGGTTAGTTCTGTCCTTGATTAGTTCCCATCCATTGCTTCTTGTCCTGCCTTCAGGTGCTTTGGAGAGTAGGTTGACCTTCTCTTCTAAGACCAAATATGTCAAAAATCTACCCCCAAAAGGTGCCAAATGATCATTAGCATGGGGATACATTTGGGCTGGAGAAATGTTGTCCATGGGGTCACGATGGGTTGGACACAACTTTGCAACTAACAACAACAACAACGTTTGTCATAAAAGAAACAAACAGCATAAAGACCTTGGAATAAAGTTACTGAAAACCTGCTATCTTAAAAAAAAGGGATCAAAAATAAACCAGAGTCCATATACCTGGATTAATCTCCCTATAATTCCCAACACCATATGCATCTACAATGGCCTGGAATCCAGCAGTGAATTTATTGGTTCGGTTAAAGGTAGGAGGTTCCAGCTTGGTCTGTATAGCAGTCAGGATGGGGTTGATTGTAGAACCACTTCGTTCCTGAGATCAAGTCAACAATGATTAGAATTAGGCAGTGATTACATCCATGATTTCTTCCAACTCCATGTTTGTGTTAATTTATTGCAGTGTTCCTCAATTTTGGCATCTTTAAGCTGTGCGGACTTCAACTCCCAGAATTACTCAGCCAGCATGCTGGCTAGGGAATTCTGAATGTTGAAATCCACACCGCTTAAAGTTGCCAAGGTTGAAAAACACTGGTCTACTGCCTAGAATCTTAACAGGCTGGGTCTTAGGTTACCAAAACAGTTAAATGAATACATTTACAGTACAGTGTTAAAATTGGCTGTATATTACAACCACAGCTGTAGCCTTTACCAAAGAATAATGGGAACAAAAGTTTTTAGGGAGCTGTCAGTGAGAATTTGTGGAGTCTTTCCTCACCGTTGGAAAATGACTGCAGGCTATTTCTAGTTTAATTTGTGTCCAGCACACAATCTCAGAATCCCTGCATGTCTGTCCAAGCAAATACACAGGCCACTCACATGTTAAGCAATTTAGCTAGTTTGATGTTTAATAAACATTTGCAAATATCAAAAATTATCAGAATCTGAGAAAAGCAGGCTAAAAGAAAGACATATAACCAAAGACTAAAAAGAGCAGGGAACTAATAACAACAATCTACAGTATTTGTATATATACAAAAAGAGACTTTCGAGAGCTCCTGAAACCAATACCGTAGTAATTAGCACAGATAACCCCATTTATTTATTTATTTATTTATTTATTTATTTATTTATTTATTTATTTATTTATTTATTTATTCATTCATTCATTCATTCATTCCAGATTTAGTTATCCCAAACTAGTTATCCTAGTTTAACCCTTTTAAGTACATAGAAAAATGTATATATCAGTAGTGTTTCTACTTCCAACAGAGATAAGAAGTTGGATACCAGGAGATCTTCCCTTATTCTGTGTCATGAAAAAAATTATTTGGTGTACTGAGATAAATTATTTGTCTAAGCAGACCAGATCTGGAAAACAACTCCCCAAAAAGGTTAAAAGTATATTTGCTAAATTTGGTTGTAACAACAGAATCTCACAAGTCTGACTGTGCTATACCCTACTCCTTCTTATATAACTATGAAATAGAGTAGAGTAGAGTAGAGTAGCTAGAGTAGCGTAGAGTAGAGTAGAGTAGAGTAGAGTAGAGTAGAATAGAATAGAATAGAATAGAATAGAATAGAATAGAATAGAATA